AAAACAAATGAAAGTTTGTAAAGACAAAAGGTGGACCAACACACATGCGCTTCCAAATAGACAATTTGATTGAATGGTAGACAGATATAAGCAGAGAAGCATGTAGTACAGAAGGAGGTGAATGTGTGGCCAGCTCGTGTAATGAATAGATGAATGGATGGACTCATGGATGAACGAATGGATGCATGTATTGATATGAAAAGAGAAGGAGGGATGAACAAAAATGAGGACATACTAATTTATCTGGTCTTGATGAAGAACGTACAAAGAAGAGGGCAGATGTGGCCTTGTCAAAACGAGGGACTTACCAACATTTGTTCCCCACGCCCTTTGTGAATCATCGCCCCGTTCTGTTGGTGAGGGTACCCGCGTTTGTCCCGCCCGATATCCCTGCATCTCTTTATCACAACAGAGCTCAACCTCTGCCTCATTAGAGGCCACCCTAGTGCTCATATTCATTAACACAAAGACTCAAAACTCGCACTGAATGTAGAAACGAAAGACACTATCAGTGAGCAGTAAAAAAAAAAAGTCCAAGCCGGCAAGGGCTCATTGACAACCTGCTGAAACAACGAGGAAAAACTGGCTCTCATTCCGAAGTGTTGCTTCTATCTATCATCACAGACAGCAAAAAATAAACATGTTTCCCAAATTACAGCTCCTTCCACGCATATTCCCGGCAAGTGGAGTCTCCATCCCGCAGACGACATCCGCTGCCGACCCTCTACAGAGGAGGGAACTCTTATGGCCAGATAAAAACCGAAAAAGCCGCCCCCCACACACGGCTAGAGAAGTTAGCGAAAGTTGCCAAGTTGCCTACTCAAGCATAGTTTGTTTTGCCTTCGGTCGATGTTTTGGCGGCATCTTTTTATTGACATGTCTTATTTTGACTTTCTCCCCTTTCTTTTTCTCAAACTTTGGCCTCAGGTGAAGCAAGGCATAGATCTAGCAAGCTTCCGATGTTGATCGTTTTTATGATGTTTGAACCTCGGATATGTAGACGGCTTAGTCGGGGAGTGGGAGGAAACATTGAAGATCATGTACAGGAATAGGAGCAGGGGAACATCAACAGGAAATCAAACGTATAAACAACAGGGATGCTTCCACGCCGATCGTGGGGGGATAAACTTGAGGACTGATCAAAGAGAGATGTCATAATACGCTGGTGTACGTCTGTTGCTGATGTGTTCGGGTAGATGTGTCCAGATAGGAGTGTGTCCATGCAGCTATGTGTCAAGGTGGAAGTGTGTGTGTGTGTGTGTGTGTGTGTGTGTGTGTG